CCTGGTGTGGTGTAAGTGGCCTCAGTCGGCAACTCAGGCTCTGTTGTGGTGCAAATTACTGACCTCTGTCATCATTTTAGGTGGGGGAACTTGCACAATCGGTGGCTGACTAAATACTTTTTTGCCCCACTGTATGTCCAAACTTTCCAACTGGAGTCGGACATGGACCCACTTTCTACTTACTTTTTGAGTAAGCAATGAAGCCTCAATGAGAGTGCAAGTATCTGTGGGTTCACTGAACACAGGTAACAGTGGTTGATTATTCACAATGTCTGTGACCTCAGCCAAAAATGTTCTCAGCAACTCACACTTGACTTTGGAAGATCCCATCCAAAGAGGCATTGAGTCCAGTGCAAAGTGGCCCTGGGGCCAGATGACGAGCCACTCAGTCCACCCCAATGGATAAAAGAAGACCAAGAGACCAGTGTACCCTGCCCTGAGATAGGGCTACCGAGGACCCATCCTGTAGCTAGTCACAGGGAGGGATACCATCTGGTAGCCAGGCCTTAGCCCATAGGACCTAGCGCGGTAGGGGTTTGGTGCAATGTGTGTCGAGCAGCACTCGGGGGCAGAGGCCGTGGTTGTCTAATCCCCAGCTAACAAGGCTGGCTACTTAAATGGAATGTGACCTCTCTGGTGAGGAAGGAGTCTAAGCTAGTGTGTGAGGTTGAGAAAAATCAGCTAGATATAGACAAGCTAACCTCAACGCACGGCTTGGGTTCTGGTGAGTGGCGGCAGGCAGGGGTGGGTTCTTGTAATCACGCGCTTGCTGCCAGTACGTTGGGGTTTTTCTGGTGGACAATAGGGATGCTTCACTGTGCCTTTGGGTTGGGGAACGGGTCCTAAATGTCATTTGCTTTTATGCAGTGAATGATAGCCGTCTTGGTGTCATTGAGTGGGTGCTTCATCCGGTGACTTCCTACTGGGAGACTTCAACACTCATGTGGGCAATGACAGTGAGACCTGGTGTGTTTGGGAGGAACAGCCTGGGTGATCTGAAATGACCAGTTCTTTGTTACTGGATTTCTGTGCAAATCACTGTTTGTCCATAATGAAGACGATAAGTGCATGTGGCACCAGGACACCCTAGGTCGATGATCGATTTTGTATCATCAGATCTGCTGCCGGGTGTTCTGGACACTGATAAAGAGGGGGCGGAGCTGTCAGCTGATCACCATGTAGTGGTGAGTTGGGTCAGGTGGAGAGGGAGGATGGTGGACAGACCTGCCGCACCAAAACGTGAGCTGGGAATGTGTGGCGTAGGCCCCGGTCTGGGAGATCTTCAACTCTCACCTCCGGAGGTTTGACTTCCCACTGTCACCAAGTGCTTGTTCAGACGGTTGTTTGATTATTGTAGGATGAAGGTTACAATATAAAGAGCATTGAGGTGATTTCTGTTGTGATTTGGCAGTATATAAATAAATGAAATTTAATTGAAATACACCTTTGTAGTGAACAATGTGTCATATCATTAAAAAGTTGTTGTGTAACAGCCAGAGTTCAAAGAGCCAATTGCGTGATATCACTTTTAGAAATGGAAGCGCCATTAGAACACAGTCTGATAGTGCTGTTCATCTGTGTCATTATGACATAGTGCATTAAAGCTGCTTTCAACTCATTTCATTCCTTCGGCCTCACTTTCTCAGGGTGGGAAGGAGCACGGCGTTCCCATTTTAATTTCAGAGATCCATCCCAGTCAGCCCGCAGACAGATGTGGAGGGCTGCATGTTGGAGATGCCATCCTTGCTGTCAACAGCATCAATTTGCGAGATGCCAAACATAAGGAAGCTGTCACCATTCTCTCTCAGCAGGTAACACTGGCACGCACATACACGTGCTCCCTGCATATCGCTGTTTGTGGTTAATTCTTTGTGTCTGTGTCAGCGAGGACAGATAGAGTTCGAGGTCGTGTATGTGGCTCCTGAAGTGGACAGCGATGATGAGAATGTGGAGTACGAGGATGACAGCGGCCATCGCTACAGACTCTACCTAGATGAACTGGATGACAGCATCACAGCACCACCTAACAACCGTTCAGCATCACTTCAAGGTACGAAGAAATCTGCAGATCAATGAAAGAGCTTTTAACAGACTTTGTCCATATGTGAAGGTGTGCACTGTTTATACCTTCACCTTTGTAGAAGCGGGTGCATGTTGGAAAATTGGATTTTGCGGGTTTTCTGTTTTTCAGAAAAATCATCGTTGTTGTTTTAGTTTCTTTTGTTTTATATATAAAAATTCTGATAACACATTTCCACTTGACTTGTAGTCCCCCTTCAGCTACGATATGGGATGTAACTGCACAGAGAGCCAGACACATAATACACATAAACACATACTACACATAATACATACAAATTGAAACAGCCCTATATTAAAAAAACAACATAGAATGAGCTAAAAAGCAACATCTCACAAGGTGTCAAAGGCCAGGGTGAAGAGATGAGTTTTCTGAAGTGGTTTGGAAACAGGATAGAGAACAGGAGAAGATCTGCTGCTGGTTGTCCAGGTTGCCTTGAATTGACGATGAGGATGAGTTTGCTTATTGTCTCTGTGTCCATCCTTTAGCACTGGAGAAGTTATCACTGAGCAATGGAGCAGAGTCTGGAGATACTGGGATGTCCAGTGAGACACCTTCAGGGGAAACTCCTTCAAAGCCACCAGAAACTGACTGCTCTTCCTAGAAGCTGCTGGAATGTGGAAAGGAAAAGAACTGAAATGAAATTCAGTGACAATCCTGTGAAAAGGGGAACATCTGTTTTCCCTTTTCTCCTTGGAGTGATGTAATTTTCTGGTCATGCAACAATGATTTTTGGGTTTTAAAGTCCATATTCTTAAAGTGGAGGTATGTGCAGAAGGGAGTGATGCTGGACTCTGATAAACTTGGTGATATACAGGATAATAATGCAGGTGATGGATGTCACCAAGTTATCGTGGAGGTGTTTAGTGGAGACACTTGTTTTGCTTTACTTTGTATAGTTACTCCTCAAAGAATCTGTTACCAAACTTCTCAGATCTAATCCGTTCATGTTCATCCAAATGAGATGTTAAAGAATAACTTTATATACGATTATCCCACCCGAATATTTTAACACGACTATGTTACAAAAATAACACTTTGTAATTGAATACAATTCTTTGGGTTCCCTGTTGATTTGTCTATCGCTGTTCTTTATATTTCATTATTGCTTCTGTTGTGCCACATGTACTTTATAAGGTGTTCCTCACAATGTAATAAAATACAACAAACTTGCAAACTGTTTTTATCTCAGCCCCTGACCAACAGGCCTCACCACTGTGCAGAGATATTTAGTTCAATACATTCTTCTTATTTCTTACTACTGTTAATATTATTATTATGGCCCAAAGAAACAGAAGTAAGTTAATCCCACCCCCATGAACAACACTGTCTAAACACTCTCAATGCTATGTTATGCATTCAGGTCAGTCTTTTTTTTTTTTTTTTATTGTCTTGGTTCCAGTCTTGTTTTTATCTTTGACATAATTGAAAGCATTCAAAAAAAGTCCAAAACATATTTTCCCATCTCGCGTTAGCAGGCTTACAAAACGTGTGCAAAAGACAAATCAAATACAATCAGTGTACACAAAATAATAATATATTAAGCGTTCTTCAGCAGTAAAGACTCAAACTGTAAACGGGAAAACCGCAGACATCACAAAAATGTTTGATCATTCATACTTAAAATAGTAAAAGATAAATGAAATCCGTATTTATAAAGGGGAAACTGCTGCTGCAGACTCCCTGAGCTCTGTAGGTAAGGCTCTCTGCTACAGTGCAGGCTCGCATCAAAAGCACTGAATGATCCCTGTTCTTATAGAGATGTTATCAAATGAGGAGGATGGTGAGTCGTAATAAAATGCAACACTTGCCAATAAAATGAGTGATCAATGTTGCAGAAAATGTATAAAAATGATTTTATTGCTGCAGCTGTACTTCAAATGTTGAAACTTCAGAATCATGTAAACATTAAATATTACTGTTCCATGACCTAAAACAAAAAACATAATTTTCTTGATTAAATGGACGCTGTCAGTGTGTGTTCTGTGTTCCAGGAATCTGTTTAAAACAGACTGAGCAGTAGAGAAGAATTGGTTATTTAAATACTCCTATACATTTTCTTCCCATGACAATGCAGTGCAGTGTTTGCACTTCATTTGGTGGTTTTTATTGAGGTACAGCTCAACTACTTGCATATATAGGATGCATTCCCCCAGTAGAACCGTTCTGTAAATAATAGAATCAGAGGAAAGATGGTGGAAAAGCCCTTAATACTTCACTCGTTCACCCAAGAACCAGTTTATCTGACATTCACACTCCAGTGGATGCATCATAGAGCAGCGTGGGGTTAGTATGTAACAACGATATGTAGCACCCAGGGATTGAATTACCAACCACTGCCATTAAGTAATGACCTGCTTTACCCTCTGGGTAACATCAGTATTAATCTAATAAAAGTAAGTGTTACTGCCCATTAATCTGGCTACAGTTGCAAGCGCATTTCTAAACAATATGAAGCTCATCGTTCTGCAGCGAGAAAGCATATTCACAAGTGGAAAACAGTCACGTGCCAACCCTCCTATGAGTGGACATCTCAACAAATTCAGTGTCAAATTTACTGTTCAAAGCTCGGAGAAGTGCGAAAAATAGACCAAGATCTGCAAACGTCAACAAACAGAACAATGTAGTGGCAATATGTGATGACAAGTATTCAGTTTTTAACACATGCAGAAGTCCTACACACATCAAAGTATTTATCATCATCTGGGAATCACGTCAAGCCGGTGGCCCTGAAGTTCTCACACATAAACTCTGTGGTCCCTGAGACTTTTAACCCGCTACAGTTCATCTAAAGCTCCAAAGGATCCGTGTACAGTGGCTCTCCACTGCAAAATACAACATCTAGACAGCAGCAGAAATCTATGCACTTCCTGGTTACACTTCTGCCTTTGATACAGTCAGACTAGGAAAGTTGACTGGCTGATTCTACCTGCAACTGTATTTTGGACTTCCTTCCTTCCTAACAATATGAAAACAACCACTTAAGAGTAAAACACTGAAGGTGTTGGTGAGGATGTGACCAAACTCCCAGCTGGCTACAGGGCTGCACTCTCAACCCTTCACATTTCTCCCTGGACACCCACAACTGTGTTAATATCCAGGATAACACATTCATCAATAAATATGCTGTACGTGATCATCCTGAGCCGCATACAAAACAGTGTGTAGAATGAAAATACATTTCCCAGAGGGGCCTGCTACAGTTTTTTGACATAAAATAACTCACCTACAGATATCGGGGCTCATCGGTGTCAGGAGTGTGGGTGTGAGGGAGTGGGACAGCCTGAGTTGGAGGCATGATGTGGTGGCAGGTGGGCAGATTTGGGAAACAGTGATTTATACTTGTGTGCAGAGGTTAGCTAAACACACAGACACAGTGTTTTCTGTTAGAAACTACTAATAGGAGGAAAGTCGAGCAGTTTCTTTCATGTGGACTTTGATACAAGTTTCATTTCCACCCCTCTCTTTTCTTGTTTGAAACCCAAACTTCACGTTTAACTGAGGCAATCCTACAGTCTAACCACTCCAGTGCTCAGGGGCAGATAGAAGTGCCGGCACCTGGACCAAGGCTAACTGGATGTCTCCTTTGTTGTGTC